GAGAGAGAGAGAGAGAGAGAGAGAGAAACAATATTTTCAATGTTACAAAACTAACCTTTAATATTATAACAATTGCAAACAATACCCAACAAAATACAATAATTACAATCATATAATAAGTTTAATTACAATCATATATTATAATATGAGTCGTGAATAACTTTATACGTAGGTATATAATTATATAAATCTTGCATGGCAAGTGGATGAACGGTGGCATTCTTTAACTATTGCACATAATTTGTTATTTTTCAAAAGTCTTTATTCATTTTGGGAATTTTTTGGTTCATCCCTATATTCTGTACTTGATTTATTCTATGTTATTTCATATTGAATCCTTTGGATAAGCAATAAGTTAATATTTTATAATATATACACACACATATATATGCATTATTATTATTATTATCGGAGCATTACTTCCCCAAGTTGAGATTCTCTCCTGTGTACTTTTTATCCACCCGACCCAATTGGCCAATACTTATATATATAATTGTATTAGCACCTGGTTTTCAAATTAGGGATTAGCCAACATTTGTTTTTAGCTTAGTATTTAGTTCACTTTTATTATCTGTTTATAATAAATAATATATATATTTAGTAGATAATTAAATTAATTTATATAATAAAATATTTTGCAGCTTGTGAAAGCAGCCAAGGTGGCAGAATATTCTGAGTCTTTTTGGAAGATAAATACAAAGGCGTGCACTGTCTGGATAATTTATATTTTTTATAGTACGAACAATTGACCTGGTCAGATGGGAAAGTCCTCCCATTGTCAAAGCATGTCAGATATATTCATATTATATTTAATAAAATTTATAAAATGTAATTAATTGTGAAGATAAATTTATAATTATATTTACTGAATTATCAGATGACTTTTTTATTTTTTAAAAAATAAATTAATATGATAGAATGCATACGGATAAAATTATCAGAAGAAAATCTAATAATTTATTAAGGATATTACCAAATCAATAATAAATAAGAGATTATATAATAAAAAAAGAATCTTCGTTAAACGTTATAATTTGGATAATTAATAGTAATTAAATTACTAATCATAATTATTATAAATAAAATGATGGCGTGGAAGATATATTTTTTTTTTTATTCTTTTCAAATAAAACCAGATTTTATTTTTAAAGTCTATTGGTCTGGCGCACATAGAATGATAGGAACCTTCCTCTCCACTTCCCTTCTTTCCCGATAAAACCCCTCCTCTCTTCCTCCTTCCCCTCTTATAAACCATTCTCTCCAATGGAGAAAAACAATTTCGACAACGACAACGGGAGTTTGACTATCGGAAACCATGGCTACGCGCTCAACGGAAAGATTATGTTCTGTTCAGTGGTGATTCTCTTCGTTTGTGTCATCTTCATTCTCTGCTTCCACAGCTACGCCAACTGGATCTTCCGCCGGCAACAAGCCCGGCGCCGGAGTCTCCGTATCCGACGACACCTACTCTCCCTTCCATCCGACGCCAACACCGTTTCCGCATCCCGAGGTTTGGATCCTTTTGTTCTCAGTCTCATCCCTGTTTTTGTATTTTCCGCGAGAAAATCCGGATCAACGCCGCCGGAATGCGCTGTTTGCTTGTCGGAATTCGAGGAGAAGGAAGAAGGCCGTGTCTTGCCGAAATGCAGCCATGTCTTTCACGTCGACTGCATCGATATGTGGTTTGTCTCCCACTCGAATTGTCCGCTCTGCAGAGCTCCGGTTACAGTACCCGGGAACCAGGTAAGTCCACCCGAAATTCAAATATCGGCGGCGTCGACGGGCGAAGAATCGGCTGGTGTAGAGCCAGAGAGGAGTGGTGGTGAAGATTTAGAGATGGGTAGCTCATTTTGGTGTTCTTCTTCTTCGTCGGCGGCGGCTAGTGGGGAGAGGAAGCGAATGGAGCTGGCGGGAATTGTAGTGGAGGTGCCAAGGGGACCGAGTTCAATTGGGGGAACAGGGTCGGAGCCAGCGGGTAATCGGGTTGTCTCGCTGAAGAGAGTTTGGAGCATATGAGGTTCTGTCTTTCTGAAGATAGAAAGCTGACATAATTATGATTTTCCGGGGGGAATATTACGGCTGTAGATATATTAGCGAAACCGCCAAAAACGATGTTTGAGATTTTTTTTTATTATAATTTAGCCCAATTTTATTTCGGTTTGATTTTTGGGTACCGAAATTAAATTATAAAATAAGATCATTTAAAGCATTTTATATTTTGCTTTTGATTAATTTTTATATCCTTTTGTTTATGTATTAAATCCAACATATTTCTTTAGTAGGATTTCAGATTCTTTACGTAAAAATATAGATGGAGATAATGGATTATAACAGGGTACAGTGGATAACGACAAGTTCGTGAAAGAACCAACAAGCAATCATACGACGTCGGATTGTTGGATAAATATCAACAAAATTCGAACAACTACTTGTTTTTTTTTTTTTTTCATCAAAAAGTTACTTTTCATATAAACTTTGGTATTAGTAAAATTTTAATTCTCAAATAATATTAGTTAAAACTCATATAAATTAATTAAATTTAAGAATATTTAATTCACTTAAATTAAAATTAAAGAGCTCTATATGTATATATATATTTTTTTTTTTAATTCTTGGAAATTTATATAATTTTATGGTTAAATAATTAAATAAATGCTTGACATAGGGAGGGGTAGTAGGTTAATGTAAAGTCGCTGGTGAGTACGTGAAGAAAGTGACTTTTGAGCCTCTACCGTAATAGAGAGTCATGGGCGTACTGTGGTCCTAATCAAATGGGCCTACTCTTATTATGTCCGTATCCAGGTTACAAAATATTAACCAAAGTTACAAATTGAAAAATATATAATAATATTCATATTTAGTATAAAAATTGACCATTTTGGCATAAAACAGAAAAATAGCTAATAAACTCAGTGGCAAACCGCAATTCTCTCCCTTGACCATAAAAGAAAATTCATCTAATCCATGTGCGTTTAAAACCCTATCAACCCATAAATAAAAAATTTCATTACACCAAAAACTAACAATCAAAAAATGTTGAAGCCAATCACCGGCTTCGTCGTCGTCTTGGTTTCTCTCACAGCCTGCCTCTCCTTCTACCCAATTGCCGCAGCTGGTCCCGACCCAATCGCCGCAGTCTGCCGGAAATCCAAAGACCGGAATCTCTGCGTCAACAGCTTCCAGTCCAAGCTCAATGGCCGAGTAGCCCCCCCCACTGAGCTCGCCATCATCGCGCTCAGGCTGGCGGCGTCAAACTCCACGGATACGTCGCAGTTCGTGAAGAACATGCTCGACGGCGGATACGACTTGGATCCCGCCGTCGACTACTCCCTCAACGATTGTCAGCAGGGATACCTTGACGCCGTGGAGCAGCTGGACAACTCGCTGGCCGCCTTGCTTGCCAATGCTTACGCCGACGTGAGTGCGTGGGTGAACGCGGCGATCGCCGACGTGCAAACGTGCCAGAACTCGTTGAACGGGCAGCCGGAGACCCAGCCGGGGATGGCTCGGAGGAATGCGAACGCGCTTGTTCTGTGCGAAAATGCACTGATCGTCATTGACATGTTGGCTAACAAAAGCTTATGATTATGATCGTCGTCATCCTCATCCTCCCTGTGTAACATTATAGGTGTGGTGCCTAATAAATATTAACTGTTTTTTCTTTAATTTTTTCATCCATAGTTCATTATATATAACTTAAAAGATTGTAATATTATTCAGGTTATAATTATTACAGATACCATTAATCTCATATTTTTTTTACACACCATATATGTATATGTATATGTATGTGTACGTATACTTGTATTTGTTGAGAATGTTTTTCTGAAAAAAGGAGCGTCAATTGTTGTCTTTGTACGTGAATTAAAAAAAAAAAAAAAAGGTATGATTGAATGATATGTAAATATATAGAATTAAGTAAGTGTAATATAAAATATTATGATTAGATCATATTTTATATATATATATATATATAGAAACTACATTAATAACAAAAGGTGGATAAGAAAATTGGATGAAACTAATTAAATACATATAAATGTCTCACTTTTATAATCTTTTATTTTGTCACTACCTCATGATTATTTAGTACATTCTAGTTAGCATATACATGCAATAATTTACAAAAAATAATTATATCAAAATAGTGTTATTTATCGGCTTGAAATTATAATAACGAATATGGTTATATCGAAAATTTTCGATTTTATAATTTTGGACAAAAAATTAGACCAATTTTATTGATTTTCTTTTTTTTTAAATAATATTTGTAATTAAAAATAAATAATAAAATTATTAATAAAGAAACAATAATTCATCTAGGTAAGTGACATTTATAATTAACATAAAGTTTACTAAAATCTTAAATTCTCATAATATATGCATTTGATTTTATGTGCAAAAGTTTATTCGAGAATAAGATGAATGTTAAGGTTTTTAACAAGTTGGATCGTAATTTAAGATTTAACAAATAAAATATGCTTTAACAATTAATAATATTATTTGTATTGTTTTATTATTTAATTTTGATATATAAACTAACTTTTTGCGACATGTTATGCAGGTATTTTTTAATTAATTAAAAATTTAGAATTAATATAATTATTTAAGTGCATTTTATAATTTATTTTTTGAAATTAATTATATAAAAAAGAAGCTAAAGTAGAATTAATAAAGACAGATTATATACGTTTGTTGAGCATGAATAGATGAATAATATAAGTAATTACTTTAACTTCATATAGTTCTTTTATCTTGTATAAATTAAAATAATATTTGTTACAATAGATAATAAATAAAAATATTATACAGAATATAAATTTCAATATATATTTTTATTAAAATAATTAAGAATATTATTTATAAGAATTTATTTGATAAATATTATTAAATATATTATTAACTAGCACATAGTTAATATATATGTATATGGTACTCTTATAATTAAAATATTATTAATTACAAAACTTATTATAATTATTATTGAACATCTTCCAATTGAATATATAATACTACAATTAGTAATTATTATAAAGTTGATTTCACGTTCTTCTATATAATAAAACAAAAATATTACATAAATTTAAATAATATTAACTACCACATGCCAACATAATCACTTGGCAAGGTAACGCAATGTCAAGCTATATATAATATGTTTGTATATATATATATATATATATATATAAAAGCTACGATAAAATTGTAAAAGCTTCTGTCACAAACTGTATATTTGATAAATTAGTTATTAGTGTGCATATATATACACATATATATATATATATATGCATATGATTTTATTAATGAACAATTAAATGCCAATTTCAAAGAATGATTCGATAAACAAAAGTGCTTAATCAAAACATGCAGTCCACTCAAAGTAGTCCGCTAAAAAAGGGCACTCCAGTCGGTCGTATCCATAGATCCCCAACAAAGAAGTTGGCGACGGTGAAGTTGGAGGCGTCGCTGGCATTCGTTAGGATGTGATAACCATCCCATTTCACCCTGCCACTCGTGTTCGATCCAAGCCCAGTGTTGTTATACTCCGCATAATACAGCGTCTTCAGAGCAAAATCTTTGTCCCATTCCCGCCACCCAGCTGGGTTTATCAAACTGTCCATGAAACTCTGCAAGTAAACCGTCCTCGAGTACTCCTTCCATGGCCTCCCAAGGTACGTCTGCACGCTCGAGCTGCTGGTGGCTAGGTCGTCGGCCGCTCGGATCGTGCAGTTGATGATCGAGGTGCCGGTGTTCTGGTTCGGATCCGTGCGGCCTTGAGCGGTGATGGCGTTAAATTGGCCGCTCATGGGGAGTCTGGGGAAGAGATTGCAGTTCTGTAAAACGACGGCGGCGTTTCCGAAAATGAAGTCGACGGTGCCGTAAACGTCGCATTCTCTGTAGAATTGCCGGAGAGAATGGGTATATAACGTGTCTTGGTAGGCTTCAAAGCTGCAACTGTAGAACACCGATAGGTCTGCGCCGCTACGCATCGCCACAGCCTGGTGCTTTTGGGGTCCTGCTGTGTTACGGAATGTTATGTTAACCGCCACGAAGTTCGGTGCCGTCACAGCTGAAATTTTCAATATTCAAACTTTTAGAATCCGTTATGCACAATTACGTTTTATTACATATAATATATATATATATATTATGATTATATAATGGAAAACTCAGTTGCGGTCTTATGTGGGAAAAGGGTATAATACAGTCAGACAGCACGTACCAAAGGTGGCGGAGTTAAAAGTGGTCCATCCATCAACGACACTACGGTTGCCGGTGATGATCGTCTGGTTGATACCGGCGCCGATCATCATCAAGTTCTTCTTCTTGCTACCAATGGAAACGTACTCTTCATAAACGCCGGCAGTGATGAAGATCAAGAAATAGCCGTTGGAGGGCAACGTGTTGTTCGGAGCAGCATTAACGGCGTCGTTTATGGTCGTAAAATTCCCAGTCCCGTCTTGGCTAACCGTCACGATATCACTCACTAGAACACCATTTGAGCTATTATCCTCCTGTAGCAGCTTCCTCCTGCTCACCGTCTCGTAAATCGTCTTCGCCCTGCTGGACATATCCAACGGCAACCGTCCGTTGCTAAACCCAAGCTGCTTTCCAGAAGGCTGCCATGTCATCTTCGCTTTCTTCCTCTTCGGCACCCAACCCTTCGTGAATAGCGCCAAGGAGACACTATACAGCTTCGAGTCGCTCGATAAAGGAGCCGAGATGCCGTTCCTCACACTCCAAGCCGACGACGTCGTTTGTAATCCTTCAATGCACGTCTGCAAATTGGTCAAGATGGCGCTGAGAAGAGTCTGCACGTAATCCGCCTGAGACGTCGGGAGCGTCGAGCTCGTGGTGGTGAGAGTCTGCATGGCAGTGGAGAGAAAGTCTATGTTCAGTCCTGCGAGCTGCCGGCAATCCTCGAGAGCTCGGACGGCCGTCGTCGACAAAGACGAACGGCGTTTAAGATATTGATCGACCAGGGCCATGAACTTCCGGGATTGCGATAGAGATCTTTGGATGGAATATCTGCCGTATGTAAAAACGGTGCCGTTTAGGTTAGGGAGGACTGACCTGCAATATGAAGGGTTAGGAGTGGAGCCGCATATCGTCCCCGGTGAGGTTTGATTCACAAGATCAGCTCCATTAACACTTGGAATGAAAAAAATTGCAATTGAAACATGCAATGTTAGGAGAAAGAAGAGCAATTTAGGACCCATCAAATTTTTTTTAAAGAAAGAATAAAATTAAATGGAGAAAAAGAGAAATAATTTATTGGTTAATGGGAAATTGTGATAGTGGGTTTGGTGTATATATAGGAGAGAAGAGTAGAGAAAAAGAGAGGTGTATGTATAGGTCGTCATTATGTTAAAGGGGAGGTTTATTAGAGTATAATCAATTTTCCAATTAGTCAACTTCATGACTTTACCGAAAACGCGTTGTTGGACTTGGGATAATTGGACATTATTTTTAATTTTATTATTTCCAATTAATTTTGCATGGTCAATTTAGTCGGAAAATTAAAGGCTTGTAACTTAACCATAAGGCTCTAATTAATTAGATAATTATGAAAATATACCTTTAAGTAAGATAATTATGATAATAATTGAAGATTAAAATTTTAAATATCCACGGAACTATTTAGAGAAAATTAAAAGATATAAAAAGCAGTCATGCAAATTGAGATAAAGTAAGCATAAAATAGAAGGGGCCACACATGTGGTCTAGTGGCAAGGAATGCATCAAATCAAAAGTCTCTTAAATTTTTGTATATGATTTCTTAATTCCCAATTCTAATCTCACATTTTTTAATTACAACCTAAAAGGTAACTAGTTTTGTTACTAAACACTTATATATTTTATTAATAAATTACTATTTATACACCAATAATTACATTATTTTTTCAAAATAGAATATAAAATTTAATATCATAATATGAATATATCAAACATGTACAACCAATTATTCGAATCCATGAAATAATGAAATTATCAACAATCTAATTTTTTTTAAAAAAAAATTATTCATACTTTCACTTCCAATTTTTTGGGTATAATTTTAATTTTAGCTTGATTTAAATTGGGCTGCAATAAATTAAAAGTAGCTATTGTTGGAAATAATTTAAGCAAAGAATTCATTTTGAACTTATATACATCTATGTGATGCGTGTGATGTGTTAATTTAAAAATTTTTAATATTAAAAAAATTATGAATAATCTTGATATGGAAATAATATAAAAAAATATTTATTTTACTGTCAATAGAAAATAATTCTTAATTATTAATGTTTTTCATTTTTTTTTCAGATGCTATTAGAGTTTTGATTAATTTTTACACTACAAAACTCACACTTAACATGAGAGAAAAAATAGTAATACGTATTTTTTTGGGTGTTATTTATCTTTTTAATTAAAGAAAAATAACTTTTTTTTTTCTTATATGTTCATCAAGAGTTATATATTTTTATAATAATTTTTTTTTATAAATTTATAAAAAATTATGTTTTTTTACAAAAAATTTTTGTAGATGCTTTTTATTTTATATAATATTTATATTAAGAATATTTTTATATCACTTATGAGTAAATATAGGCCATTTGAATTAAATATTTAATTATTTCTTTTCGTTTACTATAAAACTATTTAGATGGGTTTTGCTTTAAAATGATAAAAATAAATAAATAAAGTGGAAAATAAAATTTTTAACTTTTAAGTTGAATTTAGATCCAATTTTATCATATGTTGAGTATATAAATTATAATTATATCTTAGGTTAAAAAATGTTAAATTTAATTATAAGGAGTTAAAAAAGAAAATGATAAGAGATTGGTTAATGGTAATTGGTTAGGAAGATTTTGAGTAGATCTGCCACCGTCAAGATGAACATTCAACACGCACAAAACGACGACGTGGGTACCACATATACATATAGTCTTTTTTATCTACATATATTTATATATGTTATGTTTGTGAGAGTACGTTCTTCATTAATCCATCAGCAGTCAAGTCAATCATATAACAAGCTTAAATATATCTCTGTAGAATAGCCCTACAAACTTAGGTATAACCTGATTGATTGGGACGCATATATATGTATTATATATCTATGTACGTACATATATATGTGCATGTTTGATAAACAAAAAAAAAAAAAAGAAGAGAAAATTAATTACTGGGGAAAAGGAGAATCTGATATATTAATTAAATTATACTTCCTATTTTGAAAAATTTAAGTGAAGTTTATTATATATTTTAAATTTATTAAAATTACTAAAATTTAAAAAAATATATATATATTTGAAATTTTATTTAAATCAGCATATAGTATTATAAAAATACATAATTTCATGTAACTCATTAATTCAAATAAATGTAAAATTTTAAAAGTTAATTTCATTATAATTTTTAAATCCTAAACAAAAGCTCCATCGGGGAACCGCACTTTGTTTATAAATTAATGTTTGATTAAGAGTTTAATTTTTTTTTTTTAAAAAAATGATTAAGTGTTGTATTCTCTAATTAATTTTTGATTAATAACTAAATGTAATTAATTATGTTCTCACAGGGCAGGTTGACCGTTGTTTAAATGAACCTATTTTAACAAAGAGTTTTGACTCGCCACCACACGACAGGATTAGTGGATATGCACATCTTCGTGATAAAGTCAAAGATAATTAGAGAATATACTAAATTATAATTTATTTTTTAATTAATAATTAGAGTTTGTTTAAATTTAAATTTTATAAAATTGAAAAAATATATATAAAACAAAGTTAGGTAACATTTTTTCTTTTTTTTTTTTTTTAAAAAAAAACACATTCAAATTATATATTATAGTAATTCATTTAGTTAATGGGTAGAATACTAAATTCATTAATTACTTAACTAATTACCTTGGCAATTGGTACGTCGTGGGTCATGATGTAATTAATTAATTAATAACACAATTGTTAAACTAAATATAATAACCTTAGAGCCTTATAAGGAGATTTTTGCTGCTAAAGCAATGAATCATAATCAAATTCCACCAAGCTACTAGTTATTAAATTATGGTAAACTATATAATTAATTATAAATATTTATAAATCAAGTACCTTCAATCGAATTTTATATTTCATAATGTATGTGTATATATATTTTTTTTATACATCACAAGCTCCACATGGGATTAATTATATATATATATATTATAATTAAAAACCAATCATATGTTTTGAATGTATATGCATAAGATTATGTAGAATGATTGTGATATAGTTTAAGTATTCGTGAATTTTGGTTCAGTTAAATGTGCCTAATTAAAAAGTCAATAAGAAAAAAATGTTAGGTAATTCAATAAATCGGCACAGTTATATTTGAATATAAACAGCCTGGCCTAACTCGGTTTCTTTTTTTTTTTCTGTTCTTTCGAAACACCGACTTATATTGTAAGACATTGTCTCATCTACCGTCATGTATGTGTACGTATACATTATATATTTTTTGAGGAAAAAAAAATACGTGTGTGTGTATATATATATATATATATATATATATATGAGATACCGTATTCTTCAAATCCTTCTGAAGTGGAAACTTACCAATTTCGGCTGGTTAGTTCCTCGAAGCTGGCGGCTATCGGCTAATAATTTTCGAAGAGTCAAAACGTAGACTTTGTAGATAAATCTAATAATTTTTAGAAAGTTAAATAAGTAATGCATTCAAAGGAAGGGATAAAAGATTAACGTACCGGCTATACATAAAATATCAGTCTCTATTTTCTTTTATTCTGGGTTTCACTCCTTATTTTAAACACCTTAAGTTTCAATTATAATATATATATATATATTCACGAAACCCAATTTGTAGAACAAGTCGTATTATAACTTGAAAAACTTGACGTTTGTCCCACCACGTACATATATCATGCTTTTGATGCCAATCGTATATTCAAAAATCCTAAAAGAAACGAATGAAACTCCCCCCGTGATTTCTGTACGTCTTAACAGAACAAGTAAATTCGCGACCACCTTCTGTATAAATCACAGTACGTTAGTGTTGCCCTGCCTTCATTTTATATACCCGCTCCCAAATTAATTATCCGGAGTACTGCAGAACTACGCCGTTTTGTTAGTAGTGCACCCAAAACTCCATAATACGACGGCAGAAGTAAGCTTTTTATTTATTTATTTATTTGTGAAATTGCATCATTCTGTGAATCTGTTCTGTGTTGTTATCTTCTGCTCCATTATACTTATCGCCACAGACACATATGCATATGCATATATAGACTTAACCAATTTTCTGAAATAATTATTATTTTGTTCAGCAGAATTTCATCGGAATTTGATCAACTTCAAATTTAAGTATTAGAAAAATGTTGATTTAGTTAAATGAACTAATTATTACAAAAAAATAAAAATAAAAATGAATGTGAAAGTAAATAAAATTGAAAAAGGAAATTATTGGAGAAGTGGAATATTGGCTTTTAAAGGTTTTGGGCCCAAGAGGCATGCGGCTGACAATTTTGCCGTATGCTCACTCAACCATAAAACGAGAATAAAGCTGGTCCCAACCCACAAAATTAAAGAACCTAAGGCCCAATTACCTGATCCATATACTCCCTTATATATTTTTTTTTAAAAAATAAAAATTTTATTCATTTATTATACAAGTCTTGTTATTTTAATATCTAAAAATAAATTATAATTGACATATTAATTATATATATATAATAGTATTTAATTATTTTTTTGCATTAATTAACCAAGTCCGCATTAGATTTAATCAATTTTCTTACAATAATATTTATTATAACTAATAAAATTAGTGGAAAATTTTCTTTTTTTTTTTCTTTTTTAAAAAAGGGGAACAACATGAACATGTGTGGTGTCGGTGATAGAGTCTACCTACATATATGTATATATATATATATATATATACTGGCGGTGATGGTTAAATGGAGAACTTTCAAAAGTTATAATCATAAGGTTAATGATGGTAACAGGATTGCCTAATTGCATGCCGTAACTTTAGCATCTTTCCGTCACCCATTTTCGTTCCGAATGTTTCCTACCTTCCTCTTTTTTGTCTTTCCATGTTTTATTGCATTACGCTTCTTATATATAGATATATATATATATATACAGATGTATGTATTTAGGGGTTTGCTAATTTCAGTAATTAATGTACGATTAATAAATTGGATAATTAAAAAGATAGTTTTTTTTTTTTAAAAAATAATAATTAATTTTCTCCATCCGCATCCTGCAGGATTAATTGTCTTCGCAGGTTTGTAAGTGGATGCCACGTTGCTCATTCATTGGCGGCTTTAATTGATCTCTGTCACCAACATTAATTGCACCTTAATTTTTAATTTACCGTGATAATTAAATAATATTATATTATATTAATAATTGAAAAAAAATATTATATAATAATTATATTCTATTACAGAAATGTTTTTTATACATCTGGAAAAAATATTTTTATATATAAACAGCGCGGGTGATAACATTATCCATTTTTCAGTTAATATTTAATTCATAAGTTAAATTATAATTTAATAATTAAAATTATAAGTTCAACCACTCTATTTAATTATCCCACTCCTCTTCTTCACTTCACTCTCTCACTCCCACTCCCAAGTACACTACTCTCTTCCCCTTTCTATTTCTTGCATCGCTCTGACACACACTCCAGTACATCAACAATGAACAACTATACTCCTCCAAGAAGAAGAACAAGATGGAAGCTCTTGCTACCTCTCATTCCCGTATCAACACTTGTCTTAATTCTACTCTCCTCATTCACAACTCTCCAGCACAACTCCCAATCGAGTTTGCACATCACCAACCATCTCCAAATAGCTCATTCCACATGCCATGGCACTCTCTACCCTGACCTCTGCGTTTCCACCCTCTCGTCTCTCCCAGATCTCCACACCAAGTCCCTTCCGGAACTCATTTCCGCCACCGTCAACATCACCATGCTCGACATCAAAGCCTCCTCCCACAACTGCACAGGCTTCGAGACCCACCTCAAAAACCTCAACCCTCGCCAGCGATGGGCCTTACAGGACTGTCTCGACCTCTTCGACGACACCATCGCCGAGCTCAAGTCCGCCATCTCCGATCTCTCTTATAAAAAATCCATCGTCAAGAACTACCATGATCTGCAAACGTTGCTCAGTGCCGCCATGACTAACCAGTACACGTGCCTCGACGGGTTTGCTTACGGCGGAGGGCACCTGCGGGATGTTATTAAGACTGGCTTGTATAACATCTCGCGTCACATGAGTAACTCGCTAGTCATGCTCCAGAAAATCCCTGGAGTCCATAGAAAGCCGGAGGTTTTCCCGGGGTACGGTCGGGTTAAAGGTGGGTTTCCAACGTGGGTTTCTTCGAAAGACCGGAAACTGCTTCAGGCTTCGGTGAATGAGACGAAGTTTGACCTTATTGTCGCCAGAGATGGCACTGGAAACTTCACCACCATAAGTGAAGCTGTTGCTGCAGCTCCAAACAATAGCGATACAAGGTATACGTATATGTACTTAATTAATATTATATGTCTATAGATAAATGATAATTAATCAATAATGTGATTAACTGAGTTGATTATAATGGTGGGTTGTTAGATTTGTGATATACATAAAAGCTGGAGCTTACTTTGAGAATGTGGAGGTAGAGAGGAAGAAGAAGATGCTGATGTTCGTGGGAGATGGGATCGGGAAGACAGTGGTGAAGGCGAGTAGGAACGTGGTGGACGGATGGACGACTTTCCGCTCCGCCACAGTCGGTGAGTATAGAAATTCTCTCTCCTCGCCTCTCTTACTTAATTTGGATTTATTTACTTTTGATGTGATGCGCACCGTGTTGTGTCTAGTCAACGCGTGATGTGGAGCCAGTGGGTAATCATTGGGTGTGTCGCAGGAGTACGTATACAAAATGTTAAGGGTTACCTTTATTTCAAACCGTTGGTCAAATTCTGGTTTAAATATTTTACATATATAGAATAATAATAAGGGAAAATAGTTGAATTCAAAATAAAAAAACATTATAAACAAAAGAAAATAAAAATCATATAAGTAAAAAATAATTAATAGAATTATTGCGGAGCGGGTTTTCATGCAGACGTGAGAGTGTATATTCACTGTGTAAGCATGAAGTACGTAGCATTTTCTCTTCCTTTCTTTTGGGAGTTAATTTTTTTTAATTTAAAAATAAATGTTTAATGTTATTATTTATTAATTTTATAAAATAAATTTTTGCATCTTAAATTAATTATATTCTTAATTATTAATTTTTTTTATATAAAAAAAGCATGATGTTGACTAATGACCATGCATCTTCTGATAAGCGTGCCTCGCTGTTACAGGTTAAGCGCGTAGATAAATAATTTTGTCGGATAAAGGGTCTTTAAACTGTTTCTTTTTTTTTTTTTTTAAAAAAAAAGGAAAACTATGATAAATACACGTTTTATTATTTTAAAAGTAGTGGAGCCTATATATTAAGTGTTTAATTAGTAATTAAATTTTTACCAGGAGTCAACAAAATTTATCTGGTTAGACTATGCACTAATTTATTATTATAATATTTAGAATTTAAAAGGCAAAAAAAAAATATTAAGATAACTTTAATACATTTTCAACTATAAATAATATTTTAATAGTACTAAAGACAGATCAATTTAATAAGAAAAAAATTTCTTTAGAGGACCTATGTTTATATGTGATTTGTATTTTGATTTCTTAACATCTATATTAATATGATTCTCGTTTGAGAGTTTTTTTATTTTATTTAAATACTTTTATAAAATTATAATTATTAATAGGGTTATTATAAAGTAAACATGAACTCTAGATTAGTCACAAATAAAAATGGAGTAAATGAATATTACTCGTTACATCTAAGTTGGTCAAACATGCATATAGGCATTCTTTGAGGAGGTGATCGGCGTCTCTTCATGAACAATGTATATTGCCTATATAATGTCTAATTTGATTCATTTATAGGTTAAAACTTACTTTTTTTAAAAGAAAAAATGCATATACAAAATCTCATCATCAAATGCTTTACTTTAAAAAAGACTCCTACATTCTTAGTTTTTTTTAATCGAAGTTTGTACTATTAAAAACTTTTACTCTTGATTATCGTAGGTTATACTTAGTGCTCTATAGTTCTTTAATCTTATTACTACATATGTTTTATATTTTCAAAGTATTTTATTTGAAAACAACTTTCGATCTTGCCAAAGGAGAATGAGATCAACCATCAGCTTTGGACTTTGCACATAAGGTTTTTATACTCCACTCTTGTATTTCGTCATGTAAAAATTCCCGCTCTTTAGCATTCTAAAAACGAGTTAACTCAAATGGATTGGTTATTAATCCGAGTAAGATTGGAAAATATTTTCTCTCTTTTGTTTATACAATTTAATATATTATTAATAAAGTATTATTTTATAGACTTCTATCTTTAAATTCTTTCTATTTTTTGTTTTTAATTTTGATTTGTGTTAATTTTTCTAACGTCTGTTAAATTATCTCAAAATAAATCACAACTTTAATTTATTGATATATTGGGCCTATTTTCAAATTATTTCGAAGCCATTTTAACACATCTCAATAACCCGGCCCATATATGCAGTATTGACTTATTTTATTAACATGAAAATTTTCAGCTGTGGTGGGTACAGGGTTCATCGCCAAGGGAATAACCATCGAAAACTCCGCCGGCCCGAGCAAACACCAAGCCGTCGCCTTACGCAGCGGCGCCGATCTTTCCGCCTTCTTCAATTGCAGCTTCGTCGGCTACCAAGACACCCTCTACGCCCACTCCCTCCGCCAATTTTACCGTGATTGCGACGTTTACGGCACCATCGACTTCATCTTCGGCAACGCCGCCGTCGTCTTCCAGAACTGCAATCTCTACGCCCGCAAACCAAACGATAACCAGAAAAACATTTTCACAGCTCAGGGACGCGAAGATCCCAACCAGAACACCGGCATATCCATCCTCAACTCCAAAATCGCCGCCGCCGCCGATTTGATCCCTGTCAAATCGTCCTTCAAAACCTATCTCGGTCGGCCATGGAAGGAGTATTCGAGGACTGTGTTTATGAGATCGTACATTGATGATTCGGTGGATCCAGCGGGGTGGTTGGAATGGAACGGCACTTTTGCTCTGAAAACGCTTTATTATGGGGAGTATATGAACAGAGGGTCTGGGTCGAACACGAGTGGTAGAGTTACGTGGCCGGGTTACCGAGTTATTACTAACTCAACTGAGGCGAGTCAGTTTACGGTTCGGGCATTTCTGCAAGGCACCGAGTGGCTGAACTCGACTGAAATTCCTTATTTCGCCGATTTGATTTAGGTTAAATTTTGCAAGTATTTGATTGATATTGATGATTAGGGAGTATAAACAATCATATTGAATTACTTTTTTTTTTTTTTCTTCTTCTTCTTCTTCTTCTTCAACCAGAAATTAAGAATCATTCAGCCGATTGTGCAGAATGAGTTGGGTAAGTAAAATCGGATCCCTGTGGGTGCAGAATGATGGGAATCAATTCTTATAAACGAGTAGGGAAAGAGAGAGTAATCCAAAGGGTGTGGGTGAAAGTCCAAAACTAATAATTATGGGGAGGCGGTGCAGGAAATAAGAGAAAATTGCGGGATGGAAAAGCAAAAACCAGATATCCTAACGGGAATTGCCTCTCCCTACGCTGTTCCCTTCACGTTTTACCATTAGCAATGGAGATTATGGAACTTCTCTGGTTTGGGAATTATTAAGATTTTTATATATTTTCTTCAATAAATATACTGTCATGATTGTTATTTTTAAAATTATTTTATATTTCAATAACTAAAAGAAATTCAAAGTTCAATTGATTAATTTTGGGACGTGGGAACGTCGTCGTATGATCTGTTGTAAAGAGGATATCTAAGAACATGAGTGCATGCTTTTGCATGTGAGAGGATTTCAGAGAGCACATGACTCCCAACTCTTCTTCTAGACATATCGGGTCATATCTCATGCACCCATCACTTTCTCATCATCATCCCCCCACCTCTCCCTATTATTTACTACCTTTATCATCTACTTCCATTATGATGTATGTGTATATATATATGTATGCATGCACATACACATGTATTTCCATATGTGAGAGAGAGAAATCACGAGTTGGGTGGTGTAAAGAGAATTTTGTATTCAATTATTTATGGGTCTATTTTTGTAGGAATGTATGTCTTTCTTAACTCGCACTTTTTGACAAAACATATGCACCGGGTCCCCTTTTGTTTTTTTTTTTCTTTTTATTTTATTTTATAATAATATATTATATATTTGTTAATTATTGAGTAGCATAAAATTGAGGAGACTGTATCTCTATATATTTTTTGCCGTACACTGTGCCAAATATAAAATTAAAGAACATAACCCATCAATTATAAGAGTAATTTATTATATGATTAGTCATATTAGAGTCATTAATTTACATTTCCAGCTTTATATACAAGTTCCATGTGAGGGAAAGTATTAATGGATGTAATCTAACGGTGATAAAATACGAGAACTTATAATAATTCTCATACGTCAAGCATGTATGTGTGTGTGTGTGTGTATATATATGTTAGCCCCTACTAGGATGATGCTGTGACGCATTTGAGTGGAAAAACAATTTCAATCATGAACATATAAGGAATTTCAATCATGATTAATATCCATTGTAACAGTCTTTTTGATTATTGCTTCAGAAAAGTTTTGACCCTGTGTTTTCATGAACATGCCTGCTAACAATTTCACAATAACTTTTTTCAGAGTATATATAATAATTTTAACTACTATAATATCTTGTTGTTACTATTCAGATATATTATTTTTATTTTTATTTCTCACTATTTGTTATTAAATTTTATTATCATCTTTACAGTTGATATTTCATATATAATCAATGAGTAATCAAATGCGCAAACATATTTACTAAAAAGGAGGGTGTTAATCAAGTTGAGCAGTTTCGTCCTATGTCCTTTCGTAATACGATTTTTAAAATATTAGCTACCAAAATCAAGCATCTTTTGCACAAACATATTTCCTATGCAATCGACTTTTACCAAAGGAAGAAGTATTTATATAAACTTGTCCGCTATATAATATGAAGAAAAACAAAAAACAAGGATGAGTTGCGATCAAATGTCGATATAAAATGTTTTTGCAGTAGATTGCGAGGAATACAAACTTTTTTTTTTAGAATTATTAATACATTTAATTTTATAATATATTTTTATTGTGTCTGTTCAATTTCTTATAAATGGTGTACTATATAAGGGAGATAAGTCATAGTGCTGTCTAAGGCAAGGTGATCCTTTATCATCTTACCTCTTCATGCTATGTACTTAGGCTATTTCTAGATTACTAGATAAAGTTGAGTAGGATAACCTAATACATGGTATCGAAGTTGGCAATAATGCGCTAACCATTAATCGTATTTTATTTCTAGATAATTTGATTATTTTTGCTAGGCTGAAAAAACAAAAATTGAAGTTGTCATGAGTTAGTTGGAGACTTATTACAACTAGTTTGGCCAAAAATTAAATAACCATAAATCTTTAATCATGTTCACTTTTAATATCAAACAAAGACAATAGATATTATTATTTTAGAAGTTGGTGGGTTTAAAACATATCTTTAATTGTGCTGTTATCTTGAATTATCCTTAGTAATATATAAATATTTTGTTTCTCACTTTTAGGGACTGGTTGACAAAATCCAGGTTGGTTGGTTGGTTGGCAAAGTAGGTTGTTCGTCCTGTGCGTGATAACTACTCTAATTAAGCTAGTTCTTAACTATTTTCCTTCTTATTTTGTGTATACTATTGTTATCCTTAAAAAATGCAACGAAATAAATAACATTAACATGTTTTTCGGGTGGGATCTAAAAGAGGACATAATAAAGGCTTCATTGCTAATTTATTTGGGAAAGCTCTATGAGCCTAAAGAACAAGGTGGGCTAACTTTCAGAAATCTTACATATTTAGATATCGTTTTGGTTTCAAAACTTGTCTAATAGCTGGTTAAGACCATGGGTTAGACTTGTGAAAGAAAAATATCTGAAACATTATAGTAACAAAGGCTCTATTACACACATAAACTTGTAAACTTATTGCTAATGTTACCTCTATTAACATTTAGGGAGATCTTTGACTTGCGTCAATGCCAGAGTTCATTTTATGGCCTGTTAGTCATCTTAATTGTCTTATGATATGTCAATTAGTTGATTAGACCATAATGACAAAATATAACTAAGTTTAAGCTTCATTTCTATTTAGAAATTATTTAAGAAGTTCTTCAAATTAATTATCTAGTGTGCAAATAGATGACAAATGGATTTAGATTCATGTCAGTGCTGGAAATTACAATGCTAAATTAGGATATAAAATCTTAAATACTTTTTACTTTCAATCAAACTCTATCAATTTTTTCAAAAAGTCAAAATTCTTGAAAGACGTAAAGTCATATGGTGAAGAATTTTACATTGTTCTATTATAGGAATCCCAAAAGTTGACCGCTCAAGTATTAATCTATTTGTATTATGTTTAGAATCCTATGAATCTCATAACTATCTATTTGTATAGTACCATATCTTCAGAGCATTAGAGTTTTCTTCTAAATGATTTATAAGATTGGATCAACTGGCTATCTTTTTTGCTAGAGATCTTCTAAAGGGAGGAATTATGCAATATATTGTTGTAACGGTTATCAACCAAGGTAAGAAAGAGTCGATTGATTAGAGCTTAGAAATGTTGGTTAAAGAAATTATGATTTTACATAAGATTGTTATATTATGTATTATCATTAGGCGGACTTCTTGTCACTATAAGTTTATATCTCTTAAGAATATAAAATGGATTTCCAAGTTTAATTTTTTGAGTTCCCTTGACGACAATAATATAAATATTATCTCATCTAATAATTAAGTTTATGATTCCTACACGAAAAAAAAAAACAGTAACAATAATAGTAAAATTAAAATCAAATAGTAATAAAATAAATTCAAATTATAACTAAAAATAATATAAAATGAGAGTTAAAGATAATAATAAAATATATATTCATAATCATAGATAACGAAGATATGGCGAATTTTGTTACCATTCATATTATATATGTATATGTATGTGTGTGTATGTACAGCACCGCCAAGTTCCAAAAGCTTATCCATTGTTTTTTTTGTTTGTGAGTAGATGCATGGAGTGAGTGGTTGAACTGAAAGATCTTCTCTGCAGAATCCCATCTCTCTCTTCGCCAACTTTCTCCGACACCACCAACTTCTCACTTCAAACATCCAAATCTCACCACGTCTGTGTTTTTTCCCTGCACTTTCTTCCTCGATTCTACGTATACACACACACACACACACACACACACACATCTTATATATTTATACATAATTGTAAATCAATATGATCTGAGTGCATTTTGAAAAACAAATCACACAATTCAAGTCACAATAAGAAATAAACCGTATAACTTTAAAATCCAATCGTTTTGAAAATCTTATTCTTTCTACAAACTCTCTCTTACAAAATAATGGGAGATAATATAATTACTTATCGACTTGAGAGCATAACAACTGTCATTAATTTATTAATATGGCTCTCGATGCATGAACACATTTTTGGAGCACCCGAATTTAAATTATTAAGTTTATAATAAGAATATTATATCATTTAAATTGTATACTTGTAATTGCATGAATATATATTTTTTAAAAGTTAACTTTGTTTTTTCCATGTGAAATCTTTAGCATTGCTTTTTGTTGAATTTTTCACAGATCAAAGTATGTAATTTTGGTTTCTCATAAATGTATGTATGTGTGTATATATATATATATATATACACTCTCAGAAGGTGTTATGAATATCCTCGAAATTTTGCCTTGGATCAAATATTTTATTTTTAGTATTTTGGGAATACATACATATAATTTTTGCATGTTTTTTTTTTTTTTGTTCCAAATGTAAATAAGACAACGTTTGGTTATTACAAATTTCGAGAATTAACTCCATAATCATTGCCCTGGAAAGGCAAAATTTCCATAAATCTTTCAATCAGACACCGGAGATTAAGGTTAATCAATCAAAATTTGGATAAAGTTTGAGATTCCAACAGTTAAATTCATTAAAACGTGTTTAAATTAATAGGAAGATTACTTTTTAATATTGAATTGTAAATATATAAAATAATATTAAATTAATTTTAAAATTTGATATTTATACAATTTATTTTCTAATACTTTCTTTATAAATTGATTCATCATTTTTCTTTATTTATTTTAAACGTTTAGTTTTTTTTTTTTAAATTTTTTTAATATGAAAGTTAAGATAATTAGATTATATTTGAATATTTAAAAAAATATTTTTTTAACTAATCAGTTCAATTAATAAATTAATAATAATTTTATATTATTTTAAACTAATTTTTAATGTATTTAAATGCTATTTAATTATTTTAGTTTTTTTTATATTAAGAAACGAAAGAAAATCTAAGGGGTAAAACAAAAAAATAATATTAGAGATAAATTATAATAGAAAAATAGGAATATATTTTTTTATTAGAAATAATATTGGTGCATCTATTCTTAATTATTTCGGGAAGGAACAAAACAGACAAGCCCACGTAAAATTAGGGCGGTAAATCGCTTTTTAAAAATAATGCACTTTATTGCATTTGTCCTAAGTGCATTTATGATTTTATTTTTAAATTATTATATAAGATAATAAAACCCATATAGTCAAGAAATAATATGTATATATATATATATGTATTTATTTTTTAAATCCTTTTTTTTTTTCTCAAGAATCATGAATTTGTTACATCAAATCATCAACTAATTTTAATGGGTAAAATTTAATATATGAGAATCTGAAAAGTGGAGATTGGGAATTATTGTTAATAAAGTTCCCATGTGACCCAACAGAAGATTAAAGCAGTGAAATCAAGATTTTCTAGTAGACCCTCAAATTTTAATTAACATCACAAATTAAATTATCAATAATAAATACGTTCAGCTCAGTCCCATCCCTGGATGACCAGATCGAAACGTCGTAGTTTTCGGGCAAGGGGGGGGGGGGGGGGAATCCTGAATTGACATTACACAACCTCATCCACAGTGCATTAATAAATAAATAAACGACTGATACCATAAATGCGCACACACGACATCCCGCCGGTATTATCCCGTTTCCCGAATTACCAAAACCTGATTTAATTAAAAAAAATGAAAAAGAAAGAAATCCGGACACACATGTTCCAGGACGTGGACTTCATTATTGCTGTAACCAAACACACCGCACAGTACAGCAGTAGCAGCACCAGCTTTTTCCTTCCTCTTTAAATATAACACGAGCTTTACTCTTCTCTCTCACTCACTCACTCACTGCGAGCCTGCAGCAGAGTTGGTTGTTTTTAGTTCGTTGGTTGGTTGGTTGGGGTTTTTTCGCATTGGAGGATCTGCTTTAGAGCGAAATTCTAATGGCGATTCGCCTTTCTTCTTCCTTTACTCTTCTGGTTATCTTTTGCTTCTTCACTATTCCTCTGTTTCTCTGCAATGGCTTCCCTGACCAACCCACCGGTCAACATCATCACCACCCTCGTTTTACCAGACAAAATTATAGAGACGCTCTGACCAAATCTATTATCTTCTTCGAAGGGCAGAGGTCAGGGAGACTGCCAGCTAACCAGAGGGTCACATGGCGGAGAAACTCTGGTCTCTCCGATGGTTCCGCTATGCATGTGTGTATCTATACAGTACATACAGCACATTTCTGTTATAGGATATTTTGGTTATGTTGATTTTGTCATCAATGCAGGTTGATTTGGTGGGAGGCTACTATGATGCAGGGGACAACGTGAAGTTTGGCTTCCCCATGGCCTTCACCACGACCATGCTTTCATGGAGTGTGCTTGAGTTCGGCGGATTGATGAAAGGCGAGTTGCAGAACGCGAGACAGGCGATTCGTTGGGCGACTGATTACCTCCTCAAAGCCACCGCTCATCCAGACACCATTTACGTTCAGGTTCTAATTCGAGCCTCCATTTCTTGCTGAAAACAGAGGAGAGATGTCGATAATGGTTTATGTGGCTAATTCTGTGTCGTTTTGAACAGGTAGGTGATGCGAGCAAGGACCACGCCTGTTGGGAAAGGCCGGAGGACATGGATACGCCGAGAAGCGTGTTCAAAGTTGACAGAAACTCGCCTGGTTCGGATGTGGCGGGTGAGACGGCGGCAGCACTTGCGGCGGCTTCTTTGGTTTTTAGAAGAAGTGATCCAACTTACTCCAAGATTTTGATAAGAAGAGCCATGAGGGTAGATCTATAATTACAGTATAGAAAAGAAAATGGTAACGAGTTCCAAATTGAGATTGTGAGTGGGCAATTGTCTGGGTTTCAGGTGTTTCAGTTTGCTGACAAGTACAGAGGAGCTTACAGCAATGGGTTGAATAAATTTGTTTGCCCATACTACTGCTCTTACTCTGGTTATGAGGTAAAACTAAATATCTTCTGAAATTAAATTTTAGGATTTCATCATTGAGGTATATAAACAAGTGTTAATGGATTTGGAAAGTAGGATGAGCTGCTTTGGGGAGCTGCTTGGCTGCACCGGGCCACCAAGAATCCAACCTACCTCAACTACATTGAAGTGAATGGCCAGACACTGGGAGCTGCTGAGTATGACAACACCTTTGGGTGGGATAACAAGCATGTTGGGGCTAGGATTCTTCTCTCCAAGGTTGCTATCTAAATTTCTCCTATCACATTCTTAATATTGGCCAACTATAAATATGTATTAACAATATGGTTTTGGTTTAGAATCTGAAGAATGTTTTCTACTGTTGAAAATCTTAGGCATTTCTTGTCCAGAAAGTAAGATCCCTCCATGATTACAAAGGCCATGCAGATAATTTTATCTGTTCCCTAATTCCAGGAGCTCCTTTCTCTTCTACCAAATACACCCCAGGTATATAATATATATTAGATTATATGCATTTGGGTTAAGTACAGGGGGTTAAAGTGAAAAGATGTAGAGAAGAAATGAAATATAAATATAACGGCTACTTTTGTTTGCATGTTATTGTTGTTTTTACTCAAAACAGGTGGGCTCCTTTTCAAGATGAGTGATAGCAACATGCAGTATGTCACCTCTTCTTCTTTCTTGCTACTAACCTACGCCAAGTACTTGACCTCCGCTCGTACCCTTGTTAATTGTGGTGGTACCGTCGTTACCCCTAAGAGGCTTAGGTCCATTGCCAAGAAGCAGGTAAAATATAACTCAGTTCATATGTGTGTGTATAAATATATAGTTCATATTTGAACAGACACAAAAAGATTACTGTTAATTCTGGTCTTCTCTACATTTATGACAATCAGGTGGATTACTTGCTAGGAGACAATCCATTGAAGATGTCCTACATGGTGGGGTATGGTCGTCGGTACCCACAAAGAATTCACCACAGGGGCGCATCATTACCGTCGATTGCGGTTCACCCAGCCAAGATCCAGTGCTCAGCAGGCTTCAGCGCCATGAAATCTCAATCCCCAAATCCAAACGTTCATGTGGGGGCAATTGTTGGTGGGCCAGACCAGTATGATAGGTTCCCTGATCAACGGTCGGATTATGAGCAATCAGAACCAGCCACGTATATTAACGCACCACTCGTAGGTGCACTGGCTTATCTCGCTCACTCATTTGGCCAACTCTAGGGCCTTCCCTTATATTATTAGTTGTTAAGCTCTGGTTGGTTTACTTTTTAATTTTTTAAGCGTTAAGAGGTGTTTTTATATTTGTCTGCAAGTGCACGAGGCAACAGGGTCGAGGCCTAAAGCGGCTCGAGCTTCCAAGCCTTGAAAGCACAATGGTCTAGAGGGATAGATGGGCTTATTAATTATTATTATTAGTATCAGTATTATATATACCGTTGTAAACAGCTTTAAGATCCGTGGACCGTTCGAGGAACGGCGTTCATGTATTGTTGGTGACTAAATGTCTCACATAACATGACTTGTGTGCTCCAATAGAATGGGTGGTTTTTATTTTAACCTTTCGGTCTCTTAAATGCTAGCGCATTTTGTTGCGTTTCGGCTCACTTACTCCATTTAGGATAAAATTTGGATAACTCACTAAGCCGAACGAAGTATTCTCCGCCCTCAGTTAACTACGGAAAAGCATATAGATAATCTAAACTTTAAAGTTGGGTTAAGATTAAAAAAAAAAAAAAAAAAGGTTTGGTTAAGGTAGCATTTCCCATTGGATAAAGGATGTTCTGGTCTGATCTTGAAACTAACAACAGATACAAAATAACCGGAGAGGATATAAAGTTGTAAAGTAAATATTTTTTTTATTTTTACCGTTGACGAGAAACGAGTAATTTGACCGTTGAAAGTAAGCGAATCGTTGAGATTGAAAAAAAGGGATAATGTGAACATGTGATGTTTGGAATTGGGGGTTGTGTGTTCATGGTCAAAAAAGCTGTTTGTCACAGGGCTTGTCAGTGGCGTCAGGGAACTGTCAGGCCTTAACATCGTCCCTTTCAGATTATGTGTGTGTGAGACAGAGAGAGAGAGAGAGAGAGAGAGAGAGAGAGAGAGGGAAACCAAGAGTCAAGGAGGAACTAAATGACACTCACTAAACTAAACAACTGATATGCCGGATGAAAAATGGAAGAAGCCCATGCTCGAACAAGAAAATGCTTAGCAATTTGTATTAACACTCTGAAATATTGCTATCACTCTTGGAATTCTCACACAATTTAATTTTCAATCTAACATAAACCCAAAGATTGGTAAGTAATCCAAATGATATCAACAGAAGGTAAGAGCAAGAACATGAGTTCTTTATTGCTATGGAGTAGCCTCTATTCAAGGTAGTATCATTCATGGGTTATATACAAAATAAGACAACAGCTGAGAAGTCTCTCCACATCATGAAGTACTTGAGAACAGCTCAGACACTCGCATTATTATCAACATTCGGCGAGCATATTCAGAATTAACTAAAAAGATCACACAGAATGATCCCCGTGCATCATTCAGGAAGACAAAAATAAGAGATAGAACATAAGATTCACACAATCAGACAAAAAACCTTGTTTATTTACTCCGATAGTTACATTCTATGCAACTTCCTGGCGCAGCTATTGCTTGCTTTGGACATCATTCACCCCAGGAAGAGATTTTACCGGAGATGGTGTATCATCCGTTTCTAAAGGAACAGATTTGACCTGAAATGATGAAAGTATCAATCAATTCCTGTAATTTTAAACCAGCATGTAAAAAACAATAATTAATGTTGAATGATATTTTGTTTATTAGAAGATTATATGTTTCTTACGAGGTTGAAAGGGGGAGAGAATCCAGAAACCATATGTAAATGCTTACACTTAAATAAACATTGAATAAAATGGAAGTAACAATTTCAGTGGTGGTGACTGGTGACAACATAAACAGAAACGATATAAATCGTTGATATCACATATAAAATTAGATAACAATTTCCGCATTCTGCATTTTATAATTCTCAAAATCATGAACTTAAAATTCGAGTGTAAAAAAATTGCTGCAATTTAATGGAAAAGATAAGGGAGCACTCACCAAATCACGATATTTAAGAATATAGAACATCTCAAGGTATCTTCGGGTCTCACGCCTCTCCAGCTTGGATACATATTTCCAGAAGCCATACACTCCAGCCAGTGTCATTAGTCTTTCAGAATAAATTTTCCATGTATACCTAGAATCAAAATTCCACATTGAGATTCACAAAACTAGCTTATAAAGAATCAACAATTCCATCGGACTATTTAAAAAAT